GGGAAAGAGATTGGTCAAGCAAGACCTACCCGCAACAAACCCGTGCTGGCTATCCCTCAGGATGTTGGTGTCAGCCAGTCCATTAAGTATGGCCTCGTTAATGAGCTTTTATAAGACCTTCCCCAGGATAGAGGTCAAGCTGATGGGCCTGTAGTTTGCCGGATCCACTTTCCTCCCTTTCTTGAAAATAGGTACCACATTGGCCTTCTTCCAATCTTTGGACATTTCACCAGAGCTCCAGGAGTTCTCGAAGATCCGTGCCAGGGACTGGGCTATGATGCTCGCCAGCTCCTTGAGTACCCTGGGGTGTAGACTGTCAGGGCCGGCTGACTTGAAGGTATCCAGCCTCTCAAGGTGTTCCTTCACGAGGTCAGCATTGATGGAGGGCAGGGGATCATCCTCACCCAGACCTTCCATTTAAGCTCATCAAGATTATACATCTCCTACCTTTTGAATAGAACAGAGAACTGTGTGCCATTTAAGCTCCAATTGAAGCAAAGAATAATGTTTAAGTGCCATGTCTACATAAGACACTGACTGCACAGTAGCTTGTTACTACTGTGCAGTAGCATTGAGTGGCACAAACTGTGATGCAATGTTACTGTGCAATAGTAACAAGCTACCATGTAGTAGTAATGAGCTCCTATGCAGTCAGTAGGGCTGTGCAAAGCTCTGGGTGGTGACTTGAGTCACAGGAGATTCAGCTTGATTCAGTGGCCGAATCTCCAAATCCAAATCAGATCATGGGACCAATTAAAAGGTCCGAATCAATTCAAAGCTCTCAGAATTTTCAGAAAAGATTTGGAGAGCTTTGATGATTCGGGCAGTCCCCAGTGGCTGCAGCAGGGAGCCCCCCCGCTCCCCCAGCCCCCCTCTCCTAGCCTGCCCATGGCTGCCTCCTTCCCGGCCCAGTTTCTGGCCCTTAAAGAAAAGCCCTGGTGCTCACCAGGTGCTGCCAGGCAGCAGGGTGATCCCCACTGCCTCACGCTGCATGGGGGCTCTGCACAAGCCCCCTGACCACCCCCCTTGCTTGTGCAGAGCCCTCCACGCAGCGTGGGGCAGCAGGGATCGCTCCCCCCCAACACCCAGGAGCACCTGGGTCAGGGCTTTTTTTTTTCCAAAGAGCCAGGAGCTGGGGCCAGCGGGGCAGCCATTGCCTGGCTGAGGGGGATGGGCCTGGCTGATTCAGCAGCTGAATTTCTGAATCAGATTCAGCCAAATCAATTCAGGACAGTGATTTGAATCACTGAATTGAATCACTGTCCCCCGAATTGACTGAATCCAAAGTGAATACTAGCTGCTTTGCACAGGCCTAGCAGGCAGCATCACCAAAAAGCCGCTCGGGGACACTACTGCACAGTAACTCCGGTTACTATGCAGTCATTTAGTACTTGTATATGCAAGAACTAAATGACTCTGCAGTAACAACAGCACAGTCAGCATCTCATGTAGATACAGCCACTGATGCCTAAGATCTGATGCAGACCCTCTGCACATGGTTAAATGTCACCCTATTTGAACAGTTACAAAGCTTTGTCAGCCTTTAACAGTCACCCATAGGTTTTTACAGGGGTAGCTAATGTTAATGCAGTAATGTTGTTCATAATGATTTTCTGCTTAAATAAAAAGGTATTTATGCAGATGTAACCAGGTGGCTTCACTCTCTGGTGCTGTTTTTCCTCTTCTTTATACACTCTGTGTTCAGTCACTGGTCATCACATTTGAAGTTTATTAGGTCAGCAGGGCCATATGGGAAGCAGTGGTAGTTAAAGGAGATCTGGGTTTAGTTTCTAACCCGGTCAGAGTCCCTCCATGGCAGTGGAGAAGTTGCTTAGTTTCTCCGGACCTCAGGTTCCTTATCTGTAGAATGGACATGAAGATATCGACCAACTTTTGACATGTTTTCAAGCTCCACAGATGAAAAGCAGCAAGTAAGTGCAAGATATTATGTGACATCCTTATATGTTTATGCATCATTGCTCTGACCAGTGAAATCCTGGAGATGATGAAAGCAAATTGATCATTTCAGCACATTCAAAGTGATGAGGCAAACACTGAGAAGAGAACTGAGCAGATGGCTTATTTCAGAATGTATTCCTGTAGAATCTCAGTCTGGTATCTTGCATCCTGTTCCCTGACACCTGGATATAGTTCTCTCTTGTCCCCTAAATTCTCCCATTTGCAGAAAATAATTGATCACTTGAAATACAGATTATTGTTGCTGTTTAGCATTTTGAGCCCCCACCCTAGAGTACAACTTAGGAACCTAGGTCCCTTTTTCAATAATAATTTAAGACTCTATATATCTTCCAAAAAGACAGGGAAAGTTAATTTATATTTTAACAAACCATAATTTTCTAATTTATAAAGTCATATATATAATGTATTCATTTGTGCATGATTACAATATAACTTGAAAGAACTAACATGATTGCAGTAGTGCTGTATTTGGCAGGTTGACCAATGAGTGCTAGAACAACATTAAAAGAAGAAAACTGATTTTAAAAAAAACCTAGCAACTAGAAAAAAATGAGAATATAAAATGGGCAAAGTGCTATGGGGCCTTTTACCCTTATCAGACAGAATTTGTATTGTGTCCTTGAGAAGAAGAATATGAGTAGAATAGATTAAGTCCATCCCTTATAGAGGAGGTAGAGGCCAGATTGTTTTTGACTTTTAAAACCAAAAAAGGAAAAAATATAGAAAATGTCCCACATGTAATGATCCTGCCTTGACAGAGAGGAACAGGATTGTCAACAATTAATTTTTTTGCATGCGTAACACCCACACACATTTGAGGTTGCATGTGGTGAAGTGTGTTCTGGTTTTATTTTATCTTGTTTGTGCTGTATATTTTGCTTCCTCTACAACTGGAGAGAACCACCTCCCATCCCCCCTTATTGTGTCCAGACCCTTTGTCTTAAGCTTCCCTCCAAGAAACCTGGGGAACCAGTTTGGTGACTGTGGCCACTTCACCAGGAGTTGCTGAGCGCCTTTGAAATGACTGGTCTGCATTAGCAGTGTTCAAATAATCCCTGTTTCCAGTTGGGATGAAGTGACGAGGTCAGAAAAGTTATTTAAGGGTCAGGCCACCTGGGCTGGGTCTCTTCTTCCTCCTGGGGCTGCTGAAGCCTAAAAGATGAATTGGGAGCCAGAAAAGCCTGCTTCCCATGGGGAGGCCTCCCCTCCTCCTCTTCATTGAAGGAGCAAATTGAAGCTATGTGAGGGGAAAGCCTCAGGTACAGGGAGAGAAAGTCTGTCTCAGGACTTAAGACCACTGTTCTCTCTCTCTCTCTCTCTCACATCTATTGAGAAGAGGAATATGCCACATTTATGGTATTTATGTTAGCATCAGGATGGCAGCAATGTGTATAATTGTGTGTGGATGGGTTTACACTAGGTCTCCAATTATGTATTTCAACTGCCATTTGTGAAGTTCTGTTCATTCCCTTCTTTTGTTACATTGTCACATTATAAAGTGTTCAGAGATACTCTGTAATATATATGCTGAAATGCCGTGTGTAGAATATTAACTGATTGACATATGCTAAGGTGAAAGACATAATCATATGAGAATATGATTTTTTCTTTGAATTTGGTGTAACACTTTTATGTGGAGGTGCTTTAAGTTAATGAGATGAAATGTTTCACTAAATGGAAATCATAAGGAGGGGAACTAATAAATGACACAGGATAAAAAGCAACACTGGCCACATCTACATGAAACTCTGGCTGCGCAGTAGCCCATGACTACTAGAATATGTGATGAGATGCTACTGCACGGTAGTCTCGGGCTACGGCGTAGTCAGCATCACGAAAAAGCCATTCTTTGGCACTACTGTGCAGTAACTCTGGTTACTGTGCAGTCATTTAGTATTTGTTTATACAAGTACTAAATATAGTGCATACCAGTGCATACACTCTTACCATATAAATGGGCGTCCAAAAAATTTTAGCTAGACCAGGCATCCACTGCTTTCAGTCTGGGAAAAATGATCTTGCTGACATAGGGGCAGTTCTGAAATGCATCTCAGCCTCCACTTCCTGGTTAAAGAAATAAGTAAAATCCAGGTTAGCAGCAAAATCCATGTTCCCATACTTTTATTTGTGGAGAAGAGAAGACTGAAGGGGGATTTAAGAACAGTCTTCAAATACAAAAATGGCAGTTACAGAGAGGCTAGAGATGGGCTTTTCTCTGTGGCCTTAGGGGACAGAACTAGGAGCAATGGCCTCAAGCTTCAGCAGGGGAGTTTAGGCTGGAAATGAGGAGGAACTTTCTGACTATGAGAATGGTCACACATTGGAACATGCTACCTACAGAAATTGTGAAATCTCCATCCTTGGAAGTTTTCAAGACCAAGTTAGACAGATGGTTGGGTAGGCTGTTTTAGTTGGGGATGCATCTGCCTTGAGAAAGGCACTAGCCTAGATGACCTCCCGAGGTCCCTTCTAGCCCTGCTGTCCTGTGATCCTGTGATCTAGAAATGTGAATTTGTAGAAATTTATTAAAATTAGTGTGAGAAACAAGGATTTTTGAGGGCTGATATCTGTTACTGGATCAACTGTCTAGTTGGGATAAAATCAGACATACATTGGAATACAAAGTTTTATTCTTCAGGTCTGAAGAGGACCTCACATAGCAATTTTTAAGAACAGTAGGTAAAGTTGTGAAATTGGAGAAGGGAGAAATTTCCAGGGGCAGCAGACAAGAAATTAGTAGGAGAAAAGAAGCTTGATTACTGGCAGGTCACATCCTGGCAAGTCGGCAGACCGGCAAGTCTGCTGCTTCCCAGGGGCCCGCATCCGGGACATTACGGAGGGGATCCCAAAGCTCCTTAAACCCACAGACCACTATTCCATGCTCCTTATTCATGTGGGCACCAATGACACTGCTCGGAGCACTCCCAGCCAGGTCATGAGGCGCTACAGGGATTTGGGAGCGGGGCTTAAGGGTCTGGGGGCACAGGTAGTGTTCTCGTCGATCCTCCCAGTCTCAGGCTATGGGCTGAGAAGGGACAGGAGGATCTATGTGGTCAACCAAAGACTGCAGTGCTGGTGTCGTCAGGAAGGCTTTGGCTTTCATGACCACAGCCCACTCTTTAGCGAGACAGGCAGCGAGCTGCTGGGAAGAGATGGCCTCCACCTCTCTCCCCTAGGGAGGAGGCTCTTCTCAGCCAGACTGGCTGACCTGCTCCAC